GCCTCTGAAAAACTATATCGAAACACCTTGAATAAGGTATCCCTTGATAAAACATAAAAAGATATATTTAATTCGACTGAATGAAAGCTAAAGAATAATTTCCGGAGTTGCCAAGTAATGTATTTGCGCGTGAGTTTTCCTTTTGAATTGTCGGTAAATCACTCGTGAAAACATCAGTTTCCAACCCTTCATTACATATAACACGCGCTTTAACTTGGAAACTTTTGAAAAAGTTAATTGTAGTTCAAAAAATTTCCTTATTTTAACTTAAAGTAAACCGAAGAAGACATCCTTTCACAAACAGAGAGCAAATGGTGCCAAGAGAATAGCAGAAGTAGGTCGGTTATCTCACAAAGAACGAATGCGGCAAGACTATTCATATGGCAAAAAACTTTGTGTCTCAGTTTTTTTCTTGCTATCAACAGCATCTTCAATTTTGCCCTTCTTTCTTCCTTTTTTAATTTCATGACAGTTTAAATTCTTAAACTCTCTCGTAATTAAATCGTTTTTCATTTTTTGTAAGTTAGCTCGAAAAATAGAGGATATTACATGGCCGCTTGGGGATACGAATTTTATCTTCGAGTGCTGAAAGCGATACTTTCAGCACTCGAAGATAAAATTCGTATCCCCAAGCGGCCATGCAATGTTCTGTTTATTTTATAGATACTGATGAAATTCCTACATAAAACACAACTTTTTAAATTCATTTTCGAAACAGCAAAATAGTAAAAGAAAAAGAATGGCTAATCATGTTAGTAACCATGGCGACACCAATATCCTCACATGAGATAATTAAAATAGTATCTTCACTGCGCGCGATGAAGATATGATTTTTTAGTAAAAGGAAACATCCTGATATTCATCACTATCGAATCGGATATAATAAAATGGATTTAATTATAATTATATAGTCACATTTATTGCTATTGCAATTTTACTAATTTTGACTATTTTATTTTATCATTCTGTTGCATTAACATTTAGATACCTAAAAATTTTCAAATAAAGCGTAACTGGAAAAAGGAGAATTGAATCGATTAGACATAAAAACTAGTTCATACGCAGTTTTCAGGTGGACATTCAATAGATACATTTCATGCATTCTTTGATTTGATTAATAAGTGAATTTAAAGGGAAGAAAATTTTACCAAACCAAATTTAGCATTCAAAACCATTTTCAAATTTTGCAGGGGGTTAAAACCTTCTTTGTCATGTCGTGTCTGACAGAGGTAATGAGATTAAAAGCGGGTAAAAGAACCGTAACTTTTATTGAGGGGAGCAAAAAGTTATTTAAAGGCAATTAAATACAGTTCCATTATACCAACATGGCATTTTGAACCGTTTATTAAAGCCCTTTTTACAGGATAATATAATCAGTTTATCTTTTAATTTAAATTTACAAAAAAGAGCTAAATATTTTAAATCGATCTATCATTGGTCTCCACCTTTCGTAGCTATTTTTAAGAACATTAGAGAAAAATTAATGTCCTGTAATTAGTTTTACGAATCGACCACCTGCCATCAGGGAAACTGGAGGAGGCGTACAGCCAATAAGAAACTCGTCTGGTTTTCAGACTGTTAATAGATTCTTCATATAAGATATTTAAGGATAATAGACAAGCAATTTTGTTAGACTGAGTATTTATATTTTATCAAGAACAGAGTTGAACAAGTAATGGTTACAGGAGGTATGCGTAGTTACGTTTCGTTTTTAACCCGCAACAAAACTCAATTTTTAGCGTATGTTAGCTTGTGTTATGCGAAATTTGAGTCCATGGATGGAATCCTGAAGTGTGATTGTGCATGATGCATAAAGATCTTTTCTTAAAAGACACCATCGAACGGCGCTGTAATTTTTCCCGTTGTAGACTTGTAGAATTTTTTCAGTTTTCACAAACTTACGGCTTTGCAAACTTTATTAGCCATAGCTATAGGTTCAATTTTTTCTTTTAAATGCTTTAAACGGAGCCATGCTTTCTAAAATACTCCTCCATAACTGACTGGTGTTTTTCCGCATCATTTTTTTTCCACAAGCCAAGCATCATTTTATCGTCATTTTTCTCTTGGAGTCATTCATACGGCGTAGCTTAAATCACTTGTGCTGAGGCACAGTGAGAACCATGATAAAATGTGGCGGAGATTATCATCAGGGATTGCAAAGCCTCGTAAAGTAAAACATTCTCTCTTTAATTTCGTCGACTTGACTCGCAGAACTCAACCGACTGAAAGCGAACATCGGTCCAGAGTGAAGCAATTTATCCCATGTTATTTGTGTGAGAAACAGCATGCTTACGGTGGTAAATAGTTCAATCTTTGTGTGAAAAGAATTGTAGAAAATGTCTCAAATTACCGTATGAATATGACGTTGATGATAGTTAAGCAATATTCTTATTTGGCCTTGCTTTAATTTGTAGTGCTGTGATTGCATTATAATGTTGTTGCTAAATATCAAAACGGCTTCACATCAGAGTTGAATAGGAGCTGATAGGAGGAAAGGCATATACCAAAGGGAAATGTTTGTTCCATGCCACCCCCATTACAAAGTATAGAAAAGTATCTAATAGACGGCTTTACTATTAAAAGACGTTTTTAGTCTGGCACCATGTACCAGAAATGGTGTTAATTTCAGTGTTGATCAGTACATCTAAGTACAGGTTACGTTTGAACGATTCAATCTATGGTTACTTGGTTTCGTTTTTATTATAGGGTATTTTGTGAAAAAAGGGTTTAATTAAGTTGTGTTTCTTTCCTTGAAATATTAATGTTTTCATTCTAAAGCAGAGTGGGAGTTCACCACCTTTTATCTCCTTAAGACATACGCGCCATAATCCACAGTTGAATTTTCTAAAGTCTGAAATTTGCGTTATTATGAGAAGCCAAAATTGAACCGGCTACTAGGATTTATGAGTTCTTTAAACGCTTATTAGCAAGATTTCTTTTTATAACTAAATTTATATGTTAATGAGGCAAAATAGAAATAAAGACAGACCTATATTTAAGACTTAAAACACTATTGATAACTAATCAATTAAGCCATTTTTACGATAACCTTATTTTTCTTTGACGTGTTTGCTTTCCTATTCAAATTTATTCATTTCGGTATTTTGTTCTTTCAGATTTGAAATAACGAGAGCAAACAACCATGAACCAGGAAAATATTTCTCTTCCTCCAAGTGAAAACGTCACGGCCTTATCTTCATTTGATATCTCAACAAAAGTAGTAATGAGTGTCGCCTATGGTATTATCTTCCCAGCCGCGTTGCTAGGCAACGCCTCGATAATCTACCTTGTCTTCAAGATGCCTTCGATGCGTTCATTAACGAACATGCTTCTAGTAAATATGTGCGTGGCAAATTTACTGGTGACTTTGTTTGCAATGCCCTATTCTACACTGCACCTTTACATTCAGTATAATTGGCTTCCTGGTAACCTTGGCAACGTGACGTGCAAGCTGACACATTTTTTGTACGCTCTTTCAATCGCGGCGTCAATTTTTGCGTTGCTATTGATTTCGCTGGATCGTTATTACGCAGTCCTACACCCTTTTCAGCGGCGTCCTCTTCTGTTGCGGAGCAGGCGACTTGCATCAATAATCATTTGGTTTTTCTCTTTCGTATGCATGACTCCTTATCTGTTTCAATTCAGAGTTATAGAGTACCGTTCCTATTTCTTCTGCATGGTAAACTGGTCACCGCTGGACACTGTTGTTGCTTCGCGGACATACTATATCACAGTATTTGTGCTTCTCTACTCACTTCCTCTGCTAATAATTGGTTTAGCCTATAGCTTGATTGGGAAACATCTTTGGCAGCGCAAGATACCTGGTCAACAGACTCTGTCAAACAAGCGCGTGGCACAGCGCTCCAAATGTAAAGTAGTCCGCATGCTTATCATTGTTGTTGTTGTGTTTGCACTTTGCTGGATTCCAGCCCATCTTATGCACTTTTTGTCCTATTTCCAAAGAGAAAAGTACTTTTCGCTTCATCCTTTAGTTCTGTTGATGGCATTCTGGTTGTGTCACGCCAACAGTGCAATATCGCCTTGGCTATTTCTAGTCATGCACCATAACTTTAGACAGGGGATTCGGAGACTCATTAAAGGGCGTTATTTCCAGTACAGTCCCCAGCAATCATCCGCTTCCACGCAATGTACCCGCGGACACAGTTTGGTGGAGCGCCAAGGAACGTTGAAGACTAACCGAAGAAATATTTCGGGAAAAAAGCGAACGGTACTATGATTTGTAGGAATTCAGTTGAAATGACTTATGATGGCCAAGTTGCTCTTGAACTCCATAACAAAGATTGGTCTTGTCATTTATTGATCACTTTATTCGTTCAGAAGGCTAGCGTTCCTCTTTTCCTGTAATGCTCGAAGTAAAAACCTGTTCTTTTGGAGTATAAACTGCCTAATAAGCTGCCACTATAGCATCATATTCCCGAGGGTACTAGCCAGGGCTAAAAGCTATATCTTTTGATAACATGATAAAGTTGTTTTTCAATTTATGGTTACTTACAAGCCAACAAACTCTAGCTTAGTTTGATAGTGCTTGGCAGTGCATTTTTTAAAACAACTTTTGATTGATATCTGTCGAGTTTATTTTCAAGAGTATACGCTATGCGCTACTACGCTAATACGATATTTTTTTTCGGGCGAGGCAGGGCTTAGCTCTTGATGTTGATATCGAAAAATTATAAATTTGATGAAACCCAAGAAACTGTAAAATAGCTTTTTGTTCAATGGGCTTCAGGATGCCGCAGGTGAGAGACAGTCCGTTTTATGAAAATCCAAGGAACAGTCTTTCAGTCAGTGCGAGAGTATTAGGGCAGAAATGTAAATACAATGTGGAAAAGGATAGACCATAGATATATAGCAAAGTAAACGTCCATGAACGACTTATCTGGCAAAAAGGTGAACTCGTCAAAAAAATAAACCCTTTTTTATTTTCAACACTTATATCAAGGGTGCTTGCTTAATAAACAGTAAAAAAAAATCTTTTTTTTTCATTTTGCTTCTTCATTACCATATGTATCATCAAGATTGTCACTATCGCGATCATACTCGCCATCAGCGTTGTCTCCATCAACCTCACAATCGGCATTGTTATAACAACTGGTTTCTTCAGAGCCTGGACCGTAGTTACGATGACGTCTATGCGTTGCCTGTTCTTCATTTCCCGGTGGTGTTTTTTCCTCAATTGGTTCATCGTATAGGACCTGTATACAGTGGGGCTGATGCTGAAGGTCCATAAACTCCCATCCGAAGTGTGCCCCACCTGGAAGCCTCTTATTTATTTTCTTGAAGTAAATAAATTTATACTTAGGGCCATGGTCCTGCCAGTTTGACCAGATTTTGTCCAAAAAGGCGTGGTGACACCAAAATTCAGGTGCAAGAGCAGATGAGTCCTCGGACATGGTTCCTCCAACGGCATTATGCAAGTCATTGTGCATGTAGTCTCTCACACCAGATTCAAATTTGTTAAATTGGTTCCAAGGAATTTTATTAAGGTCGTTGACGTACCATTCCCCTGGTAAAAACATTTTTCGATCAAATTCTCGGGACAGACAATCATGACCATGCCAGACAGGAAGATACCATTTTCCAACACTGAAGGGCCCACTTCTAACGCAGCCTGATCCAGAGTTGCCGTCGCCACCAAAGCCGTGAGGTCCTGGATTCCAAATATCCCGTTTATCTGTATGACGCCACAGTCGTTTGCGTGACACTGCTCGTGCCCAGTTCCAATAAGGTACAGTCACGCGACAGTCAACGTGACGCAGCAGATTTTCGAATATAGAAATGTACCAGCGATGCCAAGGAAAGAAAAGATTTTTCTCGTGAATGATATCAAAAAACTTGAAATGAAATCTGGTAATAATATCGTAGGTCCTCTTATAAGGGTGTTGCATTGACACTACTTTGAGGGCCCTTACAAAACGACGTCGCTCTTCAAGAGGCATTTCTATGAAGTCCTTTCGTATTCTGTGGCAATCAGAGGGCTTTCCATCTTTACAGTAGCAAAGGCGGTTGCATTCATCGTATATTATTCCAGAACCTGAACAGCTGTGATTAAATCCTGAAAAGGAAAATAAAGGATTTGTTGTATTTCTTTTCATTTTCATTATGTCACTATTCGTATGTATGAAAATGAAGGATTGAACCCAGGAATCATTTCATGAGAATGCGGAATTTATGATCGTCCGGGTGAGAGTAGCCCTGGATAGAAATGTTGTTGAAAGTGACTGACGTTTCGACTACTTGTGCGTTAGTCATCTTCAGAGTCAAATTGAGCTCTATCACTTCTGATCATTTTAATGGTTTTAATCTCTGTTTATTGACCTGATTGGTCAGTTAAGTCGCATTGTGATGACTTGTCTGTCAGTCAAACCGTGATGTACAATCAGAATGCTGAACACCATTTACTGACGAAACTGCTTAACTGGCTTAACGGACAGACGACCAATAACATCTCGACTTAATTGACCAATCAGGTCAATGACCAGAGTTTGGTGTCTTCAAATGACGTGATACAATTCACTTTGACTCTGAAGATGAATGTCATCAACCGGTCCTATTTCAGATCAGTACTATACTCATCGGGACGATCATATTCCACCTTGTTATAGTTAAGTATAGAAATATTACACTAACGTTTTGGTTGTCCAGTCATCCATAAATCCTTCCACTTGTCGCTGAGCTTCCTAATACATCCTTCCAGCCATCGGTTCTTCATTTTTACCTCAACCGGTTTTTGCCTTCTAATGTTCATTCGTTTGATACATGTATGCTCAACTCACCTGTTCCTCTAAACGCGTAAGAGAGCTTGGAAACATCAGCAAAGCAGCCAATCCGGAATGTCCTTTGATTGCTGCTTATCACGTGCTTGCCAACTGCCAAAATGAATACTCTGACTCCTTTGTCTTCCAGTGACTTGATAGGATGAGATGCCAATACTTTTGAAGTAAGAGAACTACTCTCTACTATGACAAATAAGATTCGATCGACCTTGGGCTTGTGTCTTTCTGGTTCGGAATACAATCTTGTTTTTAAGAAATGGAACAAACGGTTTAAAGATGCTCTCTGGCCCGGTACATATCTGTGGATGAAGAAATACCCAGCAAAATATATATAACCATGTACAGTTGTATATTTTATATTACTTCTTAGCGGGGTCTGTTATAAATGATTCGTGTCTCGCGTAAATCGCTGCCGGCATGAGTGTGTCTCGCCTCTTGAAATTTTTAGATGGTCAGCTTTCCAGAAGGCTAAAGTGACGCACAACCGAATGCAAATAACCAAGTTTTGATTGAAAAAGAAACAATACAGAACCTAAATGAAAGACCCCGGGAAGGCCTCTTTTCTAATGCAGGGGGGTACGTGAGCTGGAGAAAGATAAACCACCGCTTTTCTCTAGGTGCAGTCCAACCCCGTTTAACGGACACTCGCTTAATAAGGACACTTCACTATTACGGACAGTTTGCTTTGTACCTGGGGAAAGAAGAGCCCTTACTTTTTTCAAAATTGAACCCGATTAATAAGGGCACCCCGGTCACTTTCTATGGCCCCCCTCAGTGTCCGTATTAACGGGGTTGACTGTACTCTGAAGACAGTATAACAAAATGAAACAAAATGAGAGGACTGGTTGAAAACCAAAAGAGTCTTCATTGGATTCGAAGACGGGCCCTTATTAGAATAGGGGCGCTTATAAGGAAAAATACCGTTGAAAGTAGCGCTTGCTAGAAAGGCGGAGGTTAGACAGGGTCGTTAAATTGAATTGTTATAGTTTATTTTATTCAAAGAGGTATTGTCGTTATTAGTTACAAAAGCCAGGTTTCCTGTACCATGAGACTGAGTGTTTACCTGAGCGATGAGATGGCGTTCAAAGTGCACTTCATGTTCATGTATTGGTTCCAACGAAAAACAAGGCGCGGAGTTGACGAATAAGTTACCATGGCGACCCTTGTTCCTGAAGGAGACACGCTGAATTCTTGTACAAGTTTTTGTGCAAAGGTTTTGAGTAATAAGAAATTCCTGGCTCCAACAGTGCTAGTGCTTGGTATTGCTAATGAGAGTTGTATTCGAGGAGGTAAACCAGACGCTGCAAAATAGAAAGGGAGGTCTCTCAGGAAATTTAAGTTCAGTTATATGAAGTTGGATTGGTTGGGCGGAGAGGGTATTTGTCAACAACAAGAATTTGAAACATTTTTGTCTCCATACTACTGAAGGTCTTTAACCACCATTTCAGATAATCAGCTAATCAATCAATGGACGCCAAAAAGAATGACCGCAATAAGCATGAGCAAAAGAAAAGTCCGCTGACCAGCACTCCACTCTCTTCTAGGCCCCATTCCCTCTTGTTTTCTCTCTTGTTTTCTCCGTCTAAGAGTATTTTATTTTACGCCAGTACTGATTGACATCAATCTGGCAAATATAGAAAGCTGTTGGTAAGCTCTGCGATTTTTATCATTTAGAATGGAAAGCAATGCCAACCTCGCACACTTCACAATCTTTGCATCAATGCAACGCGCGCGAGTAATGCATGAGAACCGTTTATAGCCCGATCTCAAGAGTAAATTTACCTTTATTCACCTTGATTGTACGCAAAGGCAAATTTTCTGAAACATTGATCATGCGATCTTGGACATGGGTTAAAAAGAGAAAAAAATTCGTCACCTGAAACGTAACGGAAACAAGAAAGAACGGACGGAAATGTGATAACAGAAATGTGGCGGAAACATGATCGTTCGTTTCCGTCGCGGAAACATGACGGAAACGCGTCCCGTCCATGGAAAACTAGATCACCATGTTTCCGCAGGGCGGAAACGTGACGGATATAAGCAACTTCCCGTTTCCGTCGAGTTTACAAAATACGGAAACACGTTATTTCGTCCTGTGTCTATCCATCCATCAACTGATCGATCAATCAGTATTAATCAATGTTATTATTCATTCAAAATATTTCTCCGTTTTTGATTGGCTAAAAGCACACGCATAATTCACCATAACCACCTACTGATAACCAAATTTGGAGGAATTTTACGATTAATCAACCGATGACGTCAAAAGTGAAGCACAGCTGCAGGTTAAAGCATCGTCAACCAAGAAAACCCGGGAACGAGGTTGAGTTGTTTTGGTTGTGAAAACAAAAATGGCGGACATTTCACTTGTTTCAAGAGTAAAAACCAGGCCAATTATGAATTATCTCATGCTTTCTCCGTATAGATACAAGATAGCTTCTGGGAGGGTGTTATCGGCCTCGGCAGATAAAACCCTCCTCGATCTCCGTTCGTTGCTCTTCAAATGATACTCAGCCTCTTTCATTATTTGTTAGTTAGTCAACCAATCAATTGAAAGAATCAAAGTAACCAGGAAAAGCAAGAAATCAATCAATCAAGCAAGCAATTAATCAGTTTTTCATTACAAGCCCATATAGTTACGCTCCAGTTAACTTGAACTTTTAACAATAAGGAAGAGAAATAGCGCGAATAAGCAAAATGAATTGATTTCTCCAGTCTGACAAAGTAGCCGAACTTTACTGTCTTTGCTGATCTACTCTCTCTTGACTAGTACTCAGTTTAAAGGTTCCTCTTCAGTTTAACTATTATGCTCTTGTTCTGTACCCACCATTATTTCGCTTGGCCGACTGGAAAAGACTGCTGGATAAATCTTCTATTGTAGATGTGATCCACTTTGTGGTCACGCCTGGCAAAAGACAATTTAAAGAACAATTGCATGAGTTAGTGCCCCTTGTCAAAACTGTTTATGAAACAGGTTTATGCTTGATGTCTTGTTTCATGTAACCAGTACAACAAAGCCCCTTCATTGGATCAACTTATTGGATGAATAAAGCATGCTAAAGGTAAAGCTTTTGGAACAGAAATCAAATAAATATTGTGTCAGTCTGTTAATTTTTGAAAGGTTAATTCGTAAAATCATTGTCGGATCAAGGCAATAAAAATATATAAATAATAATAATAATAATAATAATAATAATAATAATAATTTTTTTAAATTTAATTTTTTAAAGGTCAAAACTTTATTCATAGATAATAATAATAATAATAATAATAATAATAATAATAATAATGAATAAGCGGTGCCAACTTTTCTCACTTGCAGCCAATGGCTGAATTGCGGAGGAACCAGAGAGGTGAGATCGGACGTCAGCATGTAAAGGCGCACTCTTGCATCCACTTCAGTCCATGTTTTGATCACACCTCGCCCACCCAGATCGATGATGGCACAAGTCAGATAGACCATGACATCGGGGCCTACGTCCCCTACTCTTTTCAAACCGAGAAAGGAGTTTCACAGCTAGCATGATCTCACCAGTTTTTTAAAGACCTTGGTTGATGGTCCGGCCGGGGTTTGAACTCACGACCTCTCGCTCAGCAGACCGGCCCTCTTACAACTGAGCTAACCGGGCGGCGGCTAATAAACACTATCTTGTATCTATACGGAGAAAGCGTGCAATATCATAGTATAATAGCTTCAGAGTTGTGTTTATCTTAATAAACAACACTTGAGACGTATACTGAGATCGCGACGTTTTGACTGCTTACTGCTGGTCATCAGCAGGCAATAAGAGTGACTGTATGCACGACACTTAAAAAAGCATTTATTATTAAAGTTCGCTGTCCTTTAATTATAGTTACCCGGATGCTTTTCATCAGCGCCAACTCGAAATGACGTCAAGACGAGCCCTATCAGTACATAGCCCAAACTATGACATGAGTACATGATTGCCATATGGGGTCCAGTACTTTCCACTTAATCCATTCATCTCAGGAAAGTCTGCCATTTGCGTTTTCAGGCGTCATACCTAAATGTTAGCAATAACATTACTCAAAATTAGGCTTGACTCAAAATAATAAAGATATGTTTTGAAGGAGGTTGCTACAAATTTTCTTTCATTCTTGACACGATTTGACCCAAGTTTTCTTGTCTAGGTTTCACGATACATAACCAACAATTCGAACAATTTAAACGAGTCGCATTCATTGCGTCTCATTTAGCACTTAAAAAAAGAACACCTTTTAACCCAAATTCGGACTTGCATAGCCTTGAAACGAGCCCTTCAACAGCTTAATATCAACAACTGTCCCAGTTGTATTTATTGATTAAAATTCAGCTGAAAATCAATGATATGTAAAAATGGTTTGTGTACATAGTGCATTCCTCTACAGCACAAGAGTAGTCAACTCTAATTTTACTCAATGAAATCTTAATGTCTGCCTTGTTTCCTCAGAGAGTTTGTTAATCGTTATTCAGATTTAAAAATTTAAGTAAATTAAGGTAATTGTTCTTCTTACTGAGACGTTGTATTTTATCATGGCTGAGGTGAATGCACTTGACAACGATTCATTCCTAAAACCATTTAAATTATATGCTGTGTATATCAGAAGTCGAGCCATCGCTATTCATACGTATCTTTCTTGAAAAATTAAACTATGATCGTTATCGCGTTTAACTCTACGCATGTATCGGGTTTATACTTTGTAAGGAAGGCTGAAACGTTAGCAGAGGCGAGTATCAACGTTGGCTTCGGGTTGATTCTTGGTTAAATAATTCTACCCAAATTGGAAAGTGTGCGAAACCATTTGCTAATTTATAGAAGCATGGAGAGATTTGTGGGATTCAGCGGTTTTTAACACACTTTAGAGCCTTAAATTGCGCGGTTCGAAACAAAATGGCTAGAATACAGTTTTGGAGTTATGATTTTGTTATAGTTTCAATGGAAATTACAATGTCCTTGCTAGCCTATATGTTTGATGTAAGGAATCATAAAAACAAGACAGCTTCAAAGTAGACTTGCCTCAGTTCAGCTTAGATAAATGGCAATCAGTAAAATCCGTTTTGAGTGTGATACGTTCATGGAGTTGGTCACTGTAAAAACTGAAGAGTGGTGTTAAAACTCAATTCTCTAACTCAACTGTAATCCTTGTCAGCTTTTCATGTCAGCCAAAGAAAAGAATGAAACTAATGGAGAACAGATGGATGATTTTAAATGGGAATTCAGTTGTTGACATTGTACTTAATTAACACGAGCTCTTTATTGGCCTGGGACTAGATCTAATCTAATTGGGTGGGAAGGAGGATGCCATAGGAGCCTTTATAGTACGGCTGTGTTGGACTGGCCAGAAATTGCCTTGGGATGGGCAATCACCAAAAAGGAATAGATAAAAACTTAAATCACGTTTCAAGAGAACAAAATGGCCCCAATTACGCATCACGAAAAACAATAAGGGATCAGGACCCTCTGGCTAGATGGCTCCTATTTTGACAGGCCTGTAGATTTTCTGAGGATTTTCTGTTGCGCTAGAATAAAACTACACAATAAATGTTTTTACTAGTAGATTATACATTCTTTAACAATAAGCAATTACTGGATCCGGATTAAGTTGCTGAAAATATGGTGATTTGTTAGCAGTTACACCTTGTCTACACCCCAGGCAAAAGGAATCAAATTTTCTGAAAAATACTTAAAAATTACAATTTTTTGCTTGATGAGTTCAACAATTGTTTATTGTCTTTCATTGAAGTGGCAAAACAACACCATAAGATAAGAACTCTTCTCTGGAGTTCTTTTTTCTTCGGCTTCTACTATTCACCCAGGGATCATTCATTACAAACATTATGCATCACAATCAGATCCTTTTTTAATAGGCGGCTAGAGACCCTGCAGCAATCTCTTTTGAGCGTTTCAAGAGATTCCCTTCTAATTCGATTAATATATAATTGAGTTCAGAATGGGAATTACACAACTATTTTATTTACCTAAAAGAACATTCCATTATACGGTGAATTTTGAACATATAACTTAAATGATTTTTAAGATTAAAAGATTTGCTGTTCCTACTGTCAATTGGTGGACTGTTACTTGTATGCATATCTTTTTGTATTTTTTTTTTCACCGTTGTCACAGGCTTCCACAGAGTGTTTTCCGAAGACAGGGACCAAACTGAGCTGCCCTCTTTTGTTCGTTAATTCATATATGATGATTACAATGTACCGTATCCAAATGGTGTACTGGCTGCTTTAACATATATATCTTCGATTCTTTTCTTGCTTAGGGTTTTTGCTCTATTACTTGAGGATCTTTGCTTGCATATTGTGCTTGTCTGCCTAAGGTATAATAATAATAATCATATGTATGTATTTGGGACACCATAATAATCTTATATGAATTGATATCGAAGCGTTAGTCTGTTTCGCTAGACAAGAGTAAAGAAGGCTCTGGTGAAAAGATCGGACCACATGCAACCAATGTTTCGAGTGCCATCCGTTCTTTTGGTGAAGGTCTTATGCTTAAAACGTCAGCTCATTTGATCATGTCTTTATCAACTTAGTTAATAAAACCAACACAGTTTTGTTAAGAACATAAGCCTTAAACATTAAACATGGGAATTGCTTCTTTTTCACTTTACAAACCTGTTTCGAGCTGAATTTTGTAAATTTGACTATTTTATTTGGAAAAAGGCTAATTTTAAACAAATTGGTAACTTTCTGTAAACATTTGTTTCCGGATCACTTTCTGTTATTGACAGGCGATAGAGAAACGTGTGAATAATGTTGGAGGGGATATCTAAAGTGCGCAAAAAAATTGTACTCAAGTGGTCCGAACTCAAGGCTCTGGCCGGGAGTTTGTTAAGAAGTCGAGGAGCTAATTTTACCAGTCCTCTTTCAGGCACAGTAGTCATTTCCGTATAACTAGAATAGCTTACAGTTTAAATCTCACTACTGACTGCGCATGTGCGAGCTAAAGCGCTTCAAAAACTCTGTAGGATATTTTACATACTTGATCTAAATGGGAAAAACAACATGGCGGCCACAACTGTTAGAGGTGGCCATGGCGGTACAAGAAGGAATTCGGGTAGAAAAGGATGACTTCTGATATGAAACACATGAGAAAGATTTTTTTAGGAGAAATAAACGTATTTTTTTGGAAGGTAAGATATTTCAGTTGTGGCTTGGCGCGAAATTCGAGGCAGGATATGATTTTCTAGCGACAGCGATTTCGCGGCGCATTTTGTTGTAGAAAGGTGTACAGAAAATAGTCGTTAGGTGCCCCTAGTGCGTAGGGTGATAATAGAGCTTGAAGCTTCTTTTTTATAGGGACTGCTGTATATAAAGAGAATTAAAATATCTTGCTCACATCAGCGAATTTGCATGTTTTGTCTGAAATATCTAAATCTGTTCAATTTTCAAACAAAAATCTCTGCATGATGAACTGTTCAGGAGGGAAGAGTTGAAGCTAAAAATGCCTACCTTACCTGAAGCTTCATTTCCTGGAGTTTTGATCTGGGTTCAAAGAACGAATGGCGGGCTTAATGCTCGTTACGTTCAGCTTACGCTTCAAATCTCATTATTACCACTAACTGTTTTCTGGTATGCGTATAGTAGCAAGGAACTGAATAATTTCATTTGCTTGTTCAGTTTGTTTCTGTAAAAATGTTGCTTTTATTGCCGATGACAGATGTGACTAATATCTCAAAACAAGCGGGTTGTGTCATTCAAAACCTCGGCCATAAATACAACAAGCTGTTATAGTCGGCCCAGCTAGTGCACAGTAGAGAAAGTTAATGGTGCTTGTTTTAACGGGCACTTAATTGGAAATAGGTTTTTACAATCATAATGAAAGTCTGACAATTTTTACTGTCGAGAAATGTTTCACCATTATTACCGTGAGAAATCTTGAGGACATGTGGTGAAAGTAAAAGGCAGGTATGTTAGTTTTGGATATTTGTTTTGTTATTTCGTAAAAGGAATAATATTTTACTTTCTTATACAAAACCTGAGTTCTCAGCGTTTATGTCAGTCCCAGAGCTCTCTCATGAGGCCAGAGAAATTTTCTAAAGCCATGCTCACAATCTTTTCCGATCCAGTTGAGAATGAAGGCCTTGTCTTCAATACGCCAATCGAATATTGTTATTTGAGTCCCTAAAATGTTACTTATTCTGTTTGAACAACAACTTTCCGGTTTTGGTTTTGGTTTGCGGCTCTTTTTTCACCTTTTTTATTCTTTTTCAATAGTTTCTTATAAGGGAAGAGCACAACAAGATACTAGTCTATCAATGTAGTTTTCCTTTAAGTTTAGTTTTGTTTTAGGCCAATTTAGGCCTGTTGCTGTTTGAAGCTTTCTTGTGCTTATCATGTCTTGTTTACAATAAAAACGGGTATTGAAACGGCAGGTAACCAACCCCAATCTTGCCCTTGAATCAATTTTGAGGCAAGACGTCAACAATTCCTTTTATCGTGGCAGTCCATCGTGAATCACATTTAGCAAGCACAGGAAAAAATTGAGATGCTTGGGACATTAAATCTTGCCCAATAATGCGTTTACTGAGCTATCGACCAAATTAAAATCCGTCTGTTCTGGCAAAGTCTCTAAAAAGAAGCTAAGTACATGTATAAAGTATGGCTACTTTTGAGTTACTCGTTGAAGGAGTTATTTTTCATTTCCTCGAATTGTTGGTTGTGCTTTAATGCTTTTGCCTTATTACTTAGAGAGAAAGTAGAATATTCGGACTATGGCAGTCAAATAATGAGTCATTCATCTAATGCCAGTTACAATTCGAGTTCCAGGAATTGTTCTCCTCAAATGTTTTGATCACGTGTTATTCACCGTACGGATCAGAGATCATAAGAGGTTACTCAGCTTTCACCCCTGTAAAATTAGGTAATGAATTTCTTGACTACATTTTAAAGATCGAACAAGAGGGAAGATGAGTGCCAAAAGCAATGGAAAAAAATATATTTGGAGAGAGAGATAGAGAAAGTCCACGTCTCTCAGACATCTTGCGCAAAACAGGTGCCCATTCCCAGCGTTGGATATTAATTTTAGCTGTTGATTAATTATTCTGAGACGCTTTGAATTTCTGAAAGCAACTGTATGTTTAATACAAGCAGAGTGGATTTAGTATTTTTGTATGAATAGAGGCTTTTTAGTATGCAAGTCATTCCCAGTCGTTACGCTTCCTTTTCTACGTGTAAGTTTAACTTCAGTTTTTGGGCTTACCAGGTTCCTACCCAGGTTTCCCCTATTTCCCCCTTCCTTTTCGCGGTTTTTTGTTGGGGTTTTTCGTAGCCTCTGAATGTCTCCTGTAGATACATATCCAAAACTCCGTTTATAGGATTGTTGTTGACAGGGACTGTAGTTTCTACAACCTGTGCGGTAGTCATCTTCAGAGTTAAAGTGCATGAGTTGTGCACGTCAGTCGACGATATTAAGCTCTCTTTTATTGACCTGATTGGTCAATTAATCGCAATGTTATCGGTCGTCTGTCAGTTAAGCCAAGATGTATTGGCTGTGAAGACTCGAAAAGTCATTGGTGAGATTCGATCCGTCTATTGTCTGAGTTTAAAAGTCGTTTATTGTTAGTCAAAATTGTAGGTTGTCCAATCATTGTCTCATACTTAGTTTGGCTTGAGTCCGTCAATAAGTCGTTTATACGGTTTCGGTAGCTGTCGACTACGATTCAGTTTTCAATTTTTACTGATGAAGGACAAGTATAAATCATGTTCCATCTGTTAAGTATCTAGGGGTAGTATCGAAGGAGAAATGGAAATGGAAGACAAGTGCATATCAATAGCCTCTTCCAAAAGCTAGGGCCTCGACTTACAGTGTTCAACCGGATTTATCACATGCTGGATAAGAGAAGTCTATTGGCATACTTTGATGGTCTTGTCCTACCACACCTGGATTATGCAGATGTTTTCTGGGGAGATCTGCCAAAATCGCCTTGCAAAGAAGATTGTAAATTAAAGGCAGAAGTGATATCAGCTGAGACCCTCAGTCAGTCGCGTTCTAAGGTTTCTGTAAGATTTGGGTTTTCTTTGGTCAAAATGTGATTTGAGGGTTTTAAATCAATCAAAAAATAGTCGTGACATAACTCAGTCATTTAATGACTACTGTACATGTAAGAAATTTTGTGCCCTGGAACTATATAGATCCTCAGTAAGCTAAGGGTCCGCCAATACATACGAGTAAGGTTGATTAAGATGGAAGCAATTCTTTCCGCGATTGAAGGC